GGCTCCACCTCCCCCCCCCCATCCCGTGAGACCCAACAAGTTTTGTCACTACGGGCCCAAGCCTGAATGTCCAATGGCCTCTGGAGGATGACAGCCACCAAGTCGCCAAGAGGGAGCAGGCGGAGGGACAACACCCTTTCCTCCCTGGGGTGGCCCGGCGAAAGTAATGTACTGTGGAGTCCGGATGCATTTCTGCCAAACGCCACTGGGTTTTGAGATTTGTTTCTGAGTCTCTGGGATCATGGCCGTTAAGCAGCTTGATCAGGAGCCAGAGAGGCCATTTGTGGGCGATAACTTGGGGTCTCGTTGAGGTGGGGAGGACAAGCCCAGCTCCACCCTCATCCCGTGAGGCCCTGTGTGTCTCGTCACTGGGGGCCCAAATGTGACTATCCAGTGGCCTCAGACGAATGGTGGCCACTGGACCACCAGGGGGAACAGGCCAAGGCACAAAACCTATTCCCACCTGGGTTGGCCCAGCACCGGTAGCCTACTGCAGAGACCAGACGCATTTCTACCTAAAGCCACTGGGTTCTGAGATGCGTTTCTGAGTCTCTGGGATCATGTCCATTAAGCAGTTCAATCAGGAACCAAAGAGGCCTTGCCTCCAATTATATAGCTGAGCCGGAGGTGGTTTGTGGGTGTGTTTCCCACATACCTAACTTTTGGCTGTTTACTTTCTTGGTAAACTTTACCCCAAGTTTTTGGGGTCTGGCCAAAGGCACAGCAGCAATTTTGGGGTGTCTGGAAGTCTGAAGGCGCCATGAGGCTGCTGATGCACTCGTCTCACAGGTACAGATTGACCTGCTGGTGGCACCATACCCCCATCATCTTTTCTTTATTGTTTTCTTTTTTTTTTTTTTTAGATACACCAATCTTCACACAGTTATTCTCTAAGGAAAATTTATCGCATATTTTTAATACTTTATTCATAACAAGCAACACAAAATGAATTATTTAGGTCCTGCTTTGGGGACAGGCTTGGGTGGGAAGTTGTTTGGAAAGTTCAAACTATTGGTAGTGAGAATGTGTAATGGTGGTGGGATTGGTGTTGGAATATCGAATGTAAAAATTATTGTGAACAACTTTATGAAAAAATAAAATTGAACTTAAGAAAAGAACGATGGACTAGAGAAATAGTACAGCAAATTAGGCACTCACCTTGCACATGGCTAACTTGGGTTTAATCCCTGGCACTCCATATGGTCCTTGATCCAAACCGGGAGTGATCCCTGCATACAGAGCAAAGATAAACTGTGGGCACCACTAGGTATAGCCCCAAAATAAAACAAACGAGAATTATCTATGAGCATAGGAAAAGAATGTGAACACAGCTTTCAGAGAATGAAGAGCCCTACAGAGTTATTATACCCATATCTTTCTCTAAGAGTCCTATTTCCTTATTGGCTCTCATTCTAATTGATTTATCTAATGATGAGAGTGTGGTAGTAAAATATCTTACTACTACTGTTTGCTGTCAATAGTTTCTTTATGCCTGCTAGTAATTGCTATATGTATTCTGATTATCCTTTGTTTAATGCATGTTAAAGACTTCTTTTAGTGTACACATTCTTTGGTTGATGTGTAATGTCCATCTCTGTCTTTTACTACCTATTTAGATGGAAGTCTGTTTAATCTGATATCAGTATTTCTACCTTTTATTGGCCTTCTCTTGTCTGTATGATTGGTTTTTAACTTTTTTTTTTGCTTTATGCCTGTGTTTATCACGAGAGTTCAAGTCATGATAGATAAAGTGAGTTTCTTATAAGAAGCAGAAAGTTGGATTATGTTTTCTGATCCAATCAGTCACTCTGTTGGTCATGTAGCATAAGTCAGGTAGGAAGAGTGAGGGCATAGGTGATGCTAAAAGTGCTATTTATGTGGATCAGGAAAATAGTTTAAAACCTAAGAGTACATGCTTCATATATGATAGCACTGTAGCACTGTACTCCCATTGTTCATTAATTTGCTCGAGTGGGCCCAGAAACATCTCCATTGTGAGACTTGTTGTTACTGTGTTTGGCATATCGAATACTTCACAGGGAGCTTGCCAGACTTTGCTGTGCAGGTGAGATACTCTCAGTAGCTTGCTAGGCTCTCCAAGAGGGGCAGAGGAATCGAACTCAGGTCAGCCCCAGTCAGCCGCGTGCAAGGCAAACACCCTCCCTCTGTGCTATTGCTCAGGCCCATTCATATATGATAACCCTGGGTTATCATAAACACTGTTTAGAGAGACTCACTCAACACAAACCTGTGAGTAGCTTCTGAGTAGCATTGGGTCAGCCTCCTCCCATCAAATAAATAAATAAAAGTATTCCTATTGGTGCAAATTCTGGCTAAGCCTGCATAGAAAGCAGTATGGAGACTTTCCATAGAAGCAAGACTAGAGCTTCCATATAATTCAGTAATTCCACTTTTTTACATATAAGTTTCCAAATACAAAAACATTAATTTGAAATGATATTTGTACACTAATGCTCATTTTTAGTTCTTAGTGCTATAGCCAAGACCTGAAAACTACCCAAATGTCCAATGACAGATGAATGGAAGAAGTTGTGGCACATACAAATAGTGGAATACTATGCATCTGTAAGAAAAAGTGAAATCATATACTTTACTACAATGTGGACATACTGAACTATATCATGTCTAGTAAAATAAGCCATATGTTGAAGCATAAATATGAGATAATTTTACTCATCTGTGGTATATACACAAATAGATGAGGAAATGGATGGTAACAAATGATAGCAAAACTTTGAATTACAAAACTAAGAATACCAGATAGAGTGGGTAAGGGAACAATGAGGTATATTGATGTAACATGAGAAAATTGGTCTATTGTATTGGACACTTTGGTAGTAGTGAGGTGAGGTAACTATGTACATCAAAACTATAAGAATTAACAGTTATAAATATGTGATGCAATCTGTACTAAATTTTAAAAATGGGTTTGCCAAAGGAGTGGGTGATAGGAGGAGATCTTGAGGCACTGGTGGAGAGATGCTTGCATTGGTGGTTGGCAGGGAGTTGAAATATTGTATGCTTGAAGCTATTATTTATATTGTTTACTATAAATCAAGCGATAGCACAGCGGTCGGGTGTTTGCCTTGCACGCAGCCAAATGGCCGACCCGAGTTCGATTCCTCCGCCCCTCGAGCCCGGCAAGCTACGGAGAGTATCTCGCCCGCACGGCAGAGCCTGGCAAGCTCCCCGTGATGTATTGGATATGCCAAACACAGTAACAGCAAAGTCTCCAGTGGAGACGTTACTGGGCCCGCTCAAGCAAATCGACGAACAACGAATGGGAGGGCCTTTACTATAAATCACAGTCTTTAAATTTTGAAAGAAAAAAAAACACTTATCTTTGTTCTATTAAACATTATACCATATCAGAGACAACAAATGGACCCGACTTGCCTGGACCCTAGCAACTTGCGGCAGAAATGGCCGGGACTTTGCAATAGGCCTTCGCCACTGGGCTGCCTCGGAAGGGAGCAGGTGTTGTCCCTCTGCCTGCCCTTTAAGAGCTCCGGTAGTCGCCATTTTCTAGAAACCAGCGAGGACCTCCAGATACGAGTCGCCAGTGACAGCAAATCCCAAGTCTTGTGGGACAGGGGAGGAGTTGGGTCCTTCTCCTTCCCCCCCACCCCGATAGCACGTTGAGATGATTCCACATCTGCCTACCGTCTACGTAAGCTCTCATACTGCCATGGTCCAGAGACACACAAATGAATCTCAGACCCGAGAAACTTGCAGCAGAGATTTCCTCAGCCCCTAATTATTAAAATCTTAGAATTCCTTGAGTGGCATGATATTATATCCATAAGAAGCAACACAAAACACATTGTCTAGCATTGTGTTTTCGGTAGGTATGAGGGTTGATAGGACTGGTTTTGAAATATCAAAGGTAAGTAAAGTAGAGAAAGGATATTTTGCAAATTGTCTGCCACACAACAGGGGGAGGTGTGGAATATGGGGGGGGGGGGAGGCCATACTGGGGATTTTGATGGTGGAAAATGTGCACTGGTGAAGGAATGTGTGTTTGATTACTGTATGATCGAAGTTCAAACATGAAATTTTTGATACTGTACCAAACGAGAATTAATTAAAAAAGAAAAAGTTACACCAAATCCAATTGTACTCACTCAAGTTTAAAGGTTACGTAAAGAAACTTTTCTGACTCTGATTTTAATCAAAGTATCTAATGATTAACTAGACACATTTGAGAAAAATCTCAATTTGTCTTGAAACACTGAATCATAGTGCAAATCTAGTTATTTTAGTGGTCTTTGTAACTATTTTTATGGGAAGCAGATCTTAGTTTAATTCCTAGTTAAGAAATATTAGGTATACAATAAGGACAGGAAAGGTGACCAGTTCTTTCTGTTTACCCCTTGCTTATTTAAAAAATACAAACTACAATCTCTTATTTTTCAGTCTTTTCAGGAGTAATATCTTATGGCAAATGCATATAAATTTGCTTAGGTAATTACTTTATAAGTATTTGTTCAACCAAGGTGTTTAGTAATATGAAGTATTTTATGTATAACTTTTTGTTTTCACAGTATTCTAAAATATAAAAATGTCCAATTTACAGAAAGCATCCTATTAATTGACATAATAAATATACTTATATATACACTCATCTTCAAAGTCATAATTTCCTATTCAATATCAATGTAGAGATGAGTCATTTCTGAAATTGTTTATTTCAGTGTTTATAAATCATGGCTGCATTTTGGAACCACTCTATTAAGAATTATTAACCTGTTCCTTCAAGGAGTCCAAGGAGACCAGAAACTCCAGGGAAGTCATTGGCTTGAAGAAAATCTGGACTAAAGTATATTTTCATTTTATCAGTATAGTAGATCAGAGTCCAGACAGGAGAGAGTATAAAGTGGATGTAAAAAATTGGTTTCTTCTTAGCTTGAGAGGCACAAGTTGATTTAGTGGGGAGTGTTCAGTTGAGGTTCACAGTTACCTAAGTAGAGAAAGCTTCCATGGATCCACTTGTGTTCCTGGTGCTCTGTATCTCCTGTTGCCTCCTCCTTTCATTTTGGAAACAGAGTTCTCAGAAAAGACATCTCCCTCCTGGCCTTACTCCTCTCCCAGTTATTGGAAATATCTTACAGTTAGTTGTAAAAGATATCAGCAAATCTCTGAGCAATGTTGTATGTTCCTCCAGTGACTTGTAATGGGTAAATAAATTAGCGCTAAATTTGAAAATGATATCTAGTCTTGGCACATTATGAAAATTAATCACTGCTAATAAAATTTTTCTCTGAAATGAATCACATTTCTTTCACCAATTTCAATGTATTATCACAAACAGAAGAATGAAATTACGAATATGCCTCTAAAGAAAAATTTAGAGTTTTGTATGACAGAATCAATATACTACTATGACAAAAATTTTGTTTCAGTCATTTGCTATAATTTTTGGTTCAGGATAAATGGAAAGAAAGTGTTTTGTGATAGATTTTACGCCACGTTCCTCTACTATAGAAACTGTGTTTTTCTAAGAATTACAATGAACTTTGATTTGCTCTGAAGTGACAAATTGGGCCTGATTTCAATAAATTGCTCAGGGAGTAGCTTGAATGAGTAAAAGAAAGAAGTCATCAGAAGGACCCAATGTTGGTAACAAAATTCATATGAATGCTAACAAAAACTTCTGTCTGCATCCTATGAAGACTCAGGCTGGAAAAATTGTGCTTCCTTGAAGTCCTGTGTGTGCTAAATTACCTCTGTGATACCACTATTCTCTATATTTGGAGAGGGGCAGCTTATCAGCCTGGGCATTAGAACATTTCAACCTTTTCATACCTGCAGGCGAGCACCCACACGGGGACTGGTAGTTGAAGCACACTGCATTAGAATACCTGAATTTATTTATTTATTTATTTATTTATCATTTATTTTTTATGAAATGTGTGTTTTATCGAGTAGCATTGGTTAAAGAAGTAGAAATCTAACATTTAGGACTACATTGCTTTTTAAAATATTTTATCTTATAAAGTGGCAGAGTCTCCTGCCCCCTGCCTAGTTGTCCTCGCTGAGGCCCCTTGGAGGGAGGTGGGTTGAGTTTCTGTCCCCACCCTGAGCAGAGCTCCAGCAACCGATGACCTCCAGAATCAGCCACAACCATGCTGAGACCACTCTCCACACACATGAAGGTACTGGCAGAGGAACAAAGGCATGCTGGTCCCGGGGCTGAGATCTCCAAACCTGCTCGGGTCGGGGATGAGCATCCTCCACCCAGATCCTCCATCTTCCAGTATTATGATTTACACCCACCAACTGACTCTCCCAGCGCTGTGTAATCCCATCAATGGCCAAGAACCAGCATTCGCTGTTGTGTGACATCTTATTATCTCATTCTTACTTTGGACAATCTGGCAGGCTACCAAATGTAACCTGCCCACACGGCAAAGTCTGGCAAACTCTCTGTGGTGTACACAATATGCCAAATACCAGTAACAATGATGGGTCTCATTCTCCTAACCCTTAAAGAGCCTTGAATATGGCACTTTAATATCTCAGGGCTAGGACGAAGGAGATGTTACTGGGGCCTGCTCGAGGCCATCGACGAACAACAGGATGATCATGATTGTGATCATGATAAAGTGGTTCACAATATTTGATTACATTTAACATTAGCACACCAATCCCACCACCATTATACCTTCCCACCATCAAATTTCAGATGTTTCCATCCTGAATCCAAACCCCGACCCCAAAGCAGAACAGAAAAAATTTATTTTGTATTTTTTATGATGAAAAATCACTGAAAATGCTACAAAAAAGTTTCCTTAGAGAAAACAATGTGAAGAATGTTATATTTCACCCAGGGGCCAATAAGTCCTTCTATTAGAGAGAAGCCATGTTGCTAAAAGAGGAGCCTTTTTGCATTTATATATACATATGTATATGTATACATATTTTTTTTTGTTAAAAAACTTTTTCTCTTAGATTGGTTGCCTCCTACTTTAAACTCCATGAAATGTGTTGCGGATTCTTGGAGCATTGGTGGTGTGAGGTATGAGTTGTGATGCAGCCACAATACTACTGTACGGTTCAGAAATACATTCAATTCTGGATGAGGCTCACCCAAGCATGTGGAGAGTGGCCATGAGCATGGCAGTGGATGAGTCCTGGAGGTTTTTGGCTGCCAGGGCTGTGTCCCTTGGGCTGGGAGAGGTTTCACTGCCCCTCCTCTGGGGCACCCTAAAAGAAAGAACCTTGACTGGGGTCCAGGGGCATTCTTATGGCATGTGTTGTGTTATACTCCCTTCTGGGACAGAAGGACATACAAATCTGGATCGTGGCTGATGATGAAATTATCTAGCACCAGACAAAGATGGTTTATGGACTGAATGTTGAGTTGCTGGAAGCAGAGAGATATGGGTGGGGGAATGCCCATTCCAGATTCTGTTGAATCAAGAGTTTGTAGTCACAAAGTCCTGCTTAGCAGGGTTTAGGACTACATTGCTAAGACACCATACCTGTCAACAAAGTATAAATATCCCCAATTCCCTTAGGAGAGTCTAAGGGTATTGTGCTCTGTGTATTGACCTCATACATTAAAAGCATGAGGTCCTAGGTTTGACCCCTGCTTCAAAATAAAACCAAACAGAGAGAATAGTTGAATCATATTATTTTTAAACCTTAGCTACTCTATTCCTTAGCTTAGTGATGTGCTTGGATTTTTCTCATACTTTGTCCTATTGAAGTTCTCTTCCACTGAGTCCTCACTTCACTGAGTAAGGGTCCAAGAGTTTGACCTAGTTGCTTCAAAGTCCTAATCAGGGAATGTAGAAAGTTCTAATGTGCTAGAGTGCTTCCCAGATTTTTGTTTCTGTCCATATGACAGGCGAGTCTCTCAATTTTTTCATTATATCTGGTGCTAAATAAGGCTTGCAAGGAAGAACTGTGTTCAAGAAGTCCTCGGTATTAACTGGGAATTCATCATAGTAAATTCCAGACAGTGGTTCTGTAATTTTGTGGACTTGGATGATTGCTGATAATGTCTTAAGTTTCTTGCAGCTGCTATTGAGACCTGGATTGAGACCCAGGCTAAGGTAAAAGGTAAAGGCCCTCCCGTTGATCGTCGATTTGCTCGAGCGGGCCCAGTAACGTCTCCATTGGAGACTTTGTTGTTACTGTGTCTGGCATATCGAATACTCTCGGTAGCTTGCCGGGCTCTCCGAGAGGGGCGGAGGAATCGAACTCGGGTCGGCCATGTTGGCCGCTTGTAAGGCGAACGCCCTACCCGCTGTGCTATCGACCCAGGCTAGTGCCTGGTAATTGGTGTAGCATTGAAATCCAGTGAGCCTGAGAAGTTGTGGAGGATTTGTGGTCCTGAGTGTCCAGTAGCAGCTGTAATACTGAGCAGTCCCACATCTACTAAGAGATTTGAGTTTTCCAGATCCTGGCAGCAACTGTAGTAGCAAGGTCATTAGTAGAATCTTGTGATTGAGATTACAAATGCTTGTCAAGACTCATAGCACCACATATTAGTAGAACTTGGCTCTACCAAATGTTCAAAATCACAGGTGTCCAGAAGCATTTGTTGAGAAAATCAGCCAGTGAGTCCTGGGATGGGTCCAAGAGTTTTACCTAGTAAGCACCTGAAAACGCCTGCCTATCACGTTTGAATGAGCCTGCGAGCTAGCCTGGGCTTGAGATGGCCAGTACCCAGATACTCCTTTTTACCCCTTTTAATTGAATCACTGTGAAACACAGAGTTACAAAGCTTTCACAATCTATTTCAGTCATATAATGTTCTAGCACCCATCCCTCCACCACTGTACATTTTCCGGTACCAATGTCTCCAGGATCCCTTCTGCCACCAGCACACCCAACTTGCATCTATGGCAGGCACTTTTATTCTTTCTCTCTCTAATTTTGGGCATTATGGTTTACAACAAGATACTGAGAGGCTATCATGTTTAGTCCTTTACCCACTTTCAGCACACATCTTCCATTCCAGGTGAACTCTTCCAACAACCATTATTATAGTTGTCCATTATTATAATTGTCCCATCTTTATCACAACTGTCTTCTTCCCCCAGCACTTGCGGCAGACTTCCAATCATAGACCAATCCTCCTGGATCTTGCTTCTACTCTCCTTGGCTGGATACTCCTGTAGCCAAAGTATGAGGAAGTCTGAATAATGACAAGGGTGCACAGTCATAAGAGACTGTGTTTGTTTCATACCTAGTTCAAGCTTCCTGGAATATGACATGAATACAAATTTCCCAAAATCCCTGATAAGCAAATAATAAGAGTTGAACCTAAAAATTTACAGAGGAAATTGTGCAGTAATTTGTAATAGACCTAGTGAGGACAGAGGGAATTTGGGGTCAAGATTGTGAGTGCACAGAGGCTCCAGCGCACCAAGATAAAGAGGCCTAAGTGACAACCAGGAGTTCAATATCTAATGTTGACAATCCCTAGTCTGTTCTGCTGCAGTCAAACAGGTCTCTGTGTGGCTTGGTAATTTGTGGAGGGGTGACTTTAAGAGGAAGCTATGCTTCAGTCACAGCACAGAGTGCAAGCCTCAAAGGAGCTGGATGGAATATAGCAGTCAGGAGTAGACTGGAGTGGAATGGCCATGTTTGGTTAGGCTTAGGCAACTAGGATCTCTCAATTCCCAGCGAGCTCGACTACTATACTGGGATGGGTAGAGCACACCTCGGGATCTGTTACTAAGAAGAGAATTTTTTGAGTGGTTACTTTATTTTGGGGACAAATAAACCTTATTAAGTAAGACAAATAAAACTGTTTCAGGTTTAGTTGATGGTTAATTTATGTGATTATTAATCATAACCCATGTACTGTTATTGGGCCATTGTTTGACGTATCCTAAGTCATCCATAATTGGAAGCTACTACAGTAACTCATATTTATGTTTTAAATTCAGAAATCTTTTCAGAGTATGTGGGAGTGCCTTTTTGACAGTCATATCCATCTTCTTTCCAGCTTTCTAAAGTCTATGGCCCTGTGTTCACTGTGTATTTAGGCATGAAACCCGTTGTGGTTCTGCATGGATATGAAGCAGTGAATGAAGCCCTGATTGATTTTGGAGAAGAATTTTCTGCAAGAGGCAGTTTTCCAATGGCTGAAAGAGCTACTAAGGGAAATGGTAGGTGTGAACGCATTCATGTATAAAATCACTAATGAGGATGGAGTAGATGGAAGGCAGATATCAAAAGTGTATGTCCGTTGAAGGAGCTGCCAGTTATCCATTTCTTCCTTCTTGCTTAGGATTTCACCTATACTTTGTATTTCTTCTACTGGTAGGAATCATTAACAGCAATGGAAAGAAGTGGAAGGATATTAGGTGCTTCTCTCTCGTGACCTTGAAGAATTTTGGGATGGGGAAGAGAAGCATTGAGAATCGTGTTCAAGAAGAAGCCTGCTGCCTGGTGGAAGAGTTGAAAAAAACCAATGGTATAGATACAATGCCCAACTCTTTTCTCTCTAGTGACATCCTTGGAAACATTTCAGGGACAGCCAATTTTCATTCAGGTAGTAGCTGCTAGCTGTTATGCAGTGTAGGGAGGATTTGAGGCAGGAAACCAAGATATTTTGTGTGTCTGTTTGCTGTGTTTGTGTACACCTCATGTTTGTGCATTTAGTGTGAATATAAAAGATTGTTTCATCTGTTTCTCTCTTAAGTCTGTTGATTTGTTTTAAAATAAGAAATCATGAAGACTACATGGTCTACATAGTACATGAGTATTTTGACTTTATTCTTTAATATTTGAGTACATTATTCATTATTGATTTGTCAGATAGTCTATTTCTTCATGATCCAGCACTTTTAATTTTACATACCTATGACTTCATTTCTTCCATGTTACTTTTCTTTGTACAATTCTGTTAATATTTCCATTTTATTATATTAAATAATAATATTATTAATATTTCTGTGTGCTTTGTGTATTGTTTTACCTTTTTTGAGTAATTTATTTATCTACTCTGTCAATTTTGATTAAGTTTTCAAACTAACTCTAGTTTCATTGCTGTTTTCTATTGTTATTCTTATCCATTTTTTTAATTTCTTCTATAATCTTTACACTATCAATTTTTTTTACTATAGGCATAGTTGTTCTTTTCCTAGTTTCTTAAGAATTAAAGTTAAATCATTTATTTGTTATCTTTATTTTTCCTTTTTGGAATATACGAAGGACCTCCCAAAATGGAGCTTGGAGGTGGGGCACTCGTAGTGATTTGAAACCAACTATATTGAATAGTTCAAAGCAAGGGCCTGAGGACATGGTGGTGTCCATACCATTAGGGGCCAGGGACCATAAGATAAACCATAGAGGTGGTTTGGGGCTTCCAGGTATATATCTGATTATGCTAGGTCATTGAGGATGTAGAATATCAGGATTTGGACCTACTGGACTAGGTCCAATGCATGTGTACTATTTCTCTTGTCCCATCTTTCTTTTATTCTTGATATAGCTTCATTTTAATCACTTTTTAATTTTTACTCTTGTAATTTCTTTTGCTGTAAGCCATTAGTGATTTCTTGGTTTATGCTTATCAATTATTTTACTGTTAAGGGAATTTGTATGTAAGATGTTGCTCTTAAGTTTCTAGTGATTTCTTTTCTTGCGACAACAAGTATATGCATGTATTTTTATTTTTTAATTGTTTAAAATTTTTTTGTCATCGTTCTGTACCATCACCATGTGATCCTACTTTTATCCTGGGTTGTGCTCCCCGCAATGTGATCTGCTCCATTATATTTCAGCATCGTTTTGATTACAGAGATCCACATTTTCTAAGCATGATGGAAAAACTTAACGAAAATTTCAGTATTCTAAGTTCGCCATGTTCCTCGGAACATGCGATAAAAGAGGTGTCGGAGGCTCAGTGTCCTTGTCAACACAAACTTGGCCAAGAGCATTGAGTCATTTAAATGCCTAACAACCCGAATCGGACGTTTACATTTGAATAGATGTGGCTCTCTGCCTGCAGTTTCTATCTTCCTTGTCTACGCACCAACATCCAATTATGATGAAGGAGAAATTAAGAAGTTCTACATGGAGCTGGAGAAGTTCTATAAAGAAGACCACACCTTCTACAAGATCACTGTGGGTGATTTTAATGCCAAGATAGGACCGAGAAGATCAGCTGAAGAACTTCACATCGGGACCCATGGCCTAGAATGGAACGAACAGGGTGAGAGACTGTCTTAGTTCATCGTGTCGACCAAGACCATCCATGATAACTCACAGTTCCAGAAGGTAGAATCTAAACGATGGACATGGGAGTATCCTGGTGGACGATTCCACAACGAAATAGACCACATCATATTCAATCGACGGTTTTGCCTGACCGATGTCACTATTGTCCCAAAATTGGAAACAGGATCGGACCACCATCTCCTTTGTGCAAAATTCTACTTCACAGAGCGGGGAGAAAGGGCTGCAAAGTTCAAAAAGAGAACTCCCAGAACGACCACCAACTGGGAAATCTTTGGCACTATTGCGGCAACATGGGAAGATGCCATTGTTGACAACATTGACAAGGAATACGATCGACTGGTTCAGCACCTCCATGAATGTGCGAGGAATGCCAAGAGAGAGATAGCCACAAAAAATCGCCTATCTTCGAAAACTCTTGAGCTAATTCGCCAGCGTGGTTTGGCGCATGCCTCAGACAACTGCAAGCTAAAGTCCGAGCTCGCAAAGCAGTGCAGAGATGCGATCAAGGAAGACCTCAAAGAGAGAAGAGCAGAAGTACTGGTAGATGTGGCAGAAGCCGGGAAAAGTATTCGTAACGCCCGCCTGTCCATCGCCAACTATAAGACCAAGATGACTGCCCTCCGACATCCTGATGGATCCATCACATCCTCCAGAATGGCAATGAAAAAGATTATCCATGACTTCTAGTCAAATCTCTTCGATAGCCATGTCCACTTGCCGACATACCAAATTCCACAGGATGGATATGTCGTTCCCAACGTTCTCCCTTCCGAAATCTGACATGCCATTTCGTCAGTAAAGAAACAAACAGCACCCGGCCCAGACAAGGTCAGACCTGAACACCTGAAGAACCTGCCGTCAGTACTCATCAATACACTGGCTCGGCTCTTCCCTCGCTACCTCTCTGAATGCAAGGTTCCATCCCAATGGAAAACCAGCAGGACCGTACTACTGTTCAAGAAGGGAGACATCCATGACATTGGCAACTATTGCCCGATCTGCCTATTGTCTGTCATCTACAAGTTGTTCACTCGAGTCATCCTAAATAGGATTGGCAGAACACTAGATGAAGGACAACCATGCGAGCAAGCAGGGTTCCGCAAAGGATTCAGCACCATCGACCATATCCACACGATAACCAAGCTCATTGAGGTTTCTCGGGAGTTCAAGATGCCGCTCTGTTTAACGTTCATTGATTTAAAGAAGGCCTTTGATTCTGTTGAGACAGACGAGGTCATTGAAGCCCTAGCCAATCAGGACATTCAAGCCCAATACATCAGGATCCGCTGTGAGCTGTATTGCGGATTCACTACCAGGATCTCACCATTTTACAAAGAGGTGATCGTTGATGTCAAGAGAGGGGTGCGGCAGGGTGATACCATTTCACCGAAACTCTTCAGTGCCACCCTCGAGAACATCATGCGACGACTGGAATGGGAAGTAATGGGAGTGAAGATAGATGGTCGGCAACTACACCACCTCCGCTTTGCTGATGGCATTGTTTTAATAACACCAAACATCAGCCAAGCGGCACAAATGCTGGCCGACTTTGACCGTGAGTGTGGAAAGGTAGGACTACAGCGGAATCTTACAAAGACAATGTTTATGAGAAACAGCCTCGTTCCTGACGCCCCATTCGCTCTCAACGGAACGACCATCTTCGAATGCAACAGCTATGTGTACCTAGGTCAAGAAGTCAATATGACAAATGTCCTGGCACCTGAGCTGCGCAGGAGGAAGAGAGCGGCTTGGAATGCCTTCAAGAACGTCGAGGAAATAGCTAAGAGGACGAAGAACCTCCGGCTCCGGGCACATCTCTTTGATTCCGCTATTCTTCCTGCATTAACATATGCCTCAGAGACCTGGGCCCTACGCAAACAAGATGAGAACGCCATTCAGGTCTCCCAAAGAAGAATAGAAAGAGCTATGCTTGGAATATCACGTTTCACTCAAATGAGAGAAAGAATCCGGAGTTCTGACATCCGTTGACGATCAGGGACGCTGTCTCGTTTGCCAACGTATCAAAAATCAGATGGGCTGGTCACGTAATGAGATTTAAAGACAACCGCTGGACTAGAGCTGTTACTGACTGGATTCCACAGGATGTCAAAAGACCGCGTGGCCGCCCACCTACCAGATGGTCAGACTTCTTCGTCAAGATCATGAACGATCGGTTTGAGGCTCTTCATTTTCCCAGAGCGAACAGATGCCATTGGGCTACACTAGCACACGACAGGGACAAATGGAGACGTTACTGGCGCCCGCTCAAGCAAATCGACGACTAACGGGAAGTTAAGTGATAAGTGATAAGTTCCCCATGGTTGCAAGTGAGTGTAAATTCGTTTCCTTTTTTGTTTTGAGTTTTCTTTGCTCCCTATGCTTTATAGTACTGTTTGTAATGCATTGTTCATTAGTACACAATGTTCTTATATATATGTTGTTCCAACATATGAACACTGTTCCATGCATGGCATACTTTTGTCCATGCATACAATATTCCAGTACTATACCTTCCACTAGATTGTCCTCTTCCCCTCCTCCTACCCCTGATTGTCCTAAAGTACCCCCCTACCCAGCCTTATCCCTCACCCCTTGGTGGGATCAGTTCCGTAGACCAACTTTCCGGTTCTGTTGCCTTTGATCACTTGCTATTCCCTTTGATCACTTGCTATTAAACCCACATGAGAAAAAAAAGATAATTCTGTAGGTTTCTGGGGTTTGTGTGTGTGTGTGTGTGTGTGAAGCAAGGTGGTTTTATTGAAACTTATTCAGAAATATGTGAAGGGAGAGAGAGAGTAGTACATGTTTAATAGAGAACATAGGTTTCTCCAGAGTGGATATAAGAAAGCAAAGAATCATAGAGATAATAAATATACATATTCAAGAGAGAACATGGGCCTGAAGAAAAAAACTGGTTTTTTTTCTATTTAATCATAATGTTTGCTGTTTTCTCCAAGTCCAAATGTCTAGTGCACCAAGCTATGAAGTAATCGTGTGAACCACAATTTCTACTCTGTGCTTAGCTTCATAGTATGCTCTTTAAAAATAGACAGGAAAATTATCTTCAAAGCAAGGAACAGAAATTCAATATAATTAACCCTTTTAACTGTTCTTTTTTTCCCACAAAACCCCAAAGTCCAGTTTTCATAAAATAGTCTTGTATTTACCTAAAAAGTGTGCACACCACTAAAGGAAATCCACACTTCCTTTATTCACAGCTAAGATAATATAATCAACATTTATCAAAATCATTATATTAGTTGCTAAAAATAAATTAGGAATAGAATATCTTGTTCAAGAAAGGAGAATTCTGGAATTCACAAATGATGCCAAAAAACACTGACTAAAGAGTCTTTGATGCTGTTTTTGTTTGTTTGTTTTTGTTTATGGGTCGCATCCGTGACATTCAGGGCTTACTCCTGACTCTGTACTCAGGAATCACTTCTAGCAGTGCGCTGGGGACCATACGGGATGGAGATCAAGCCCAAGTCGACTGTGTTCAAGGCAAATGCCCTATGTGCTGTACTATTGCTCTGGCCCTCTTTGTTGGTAATTTTTTTTATATCCTAAAGATCAAGGCAATTGTTTATTTATTTATTTAATTTTTTAATCACACCCGTTGATACTCAGGGGTTACTCCTGTCTCTGCTCTCAGAAATTACTCCTGGCAGTGCCTGTTGGACCACATGTGATGCCAGGGATTAAACCCGGGTCGGTCGCATGCAAGGCAAAGGACCTACCTGCTATACCTTTACTCCGATGCCCTCAAGGCAATTATTTTCATGTGATAAAATAATTGGATTTATGATTTCCCAAACACAAACAAATATCAAGTATTACCCTGAAACTAGATAAGATGTTCTGCCTTCTGTTTAAAACATGTGATATGACCAGGGACATTAATTTAACTACTCTGCTCATAGTTACTGTGAATATAAAGTTGAAATGTGCTGCATGGTATCTTCGGGATTTTCCCACTTTTAAACTACTGATTCTGTATGAGGCTAGGAGAAAGAATTAAGAGAAGCAGTACTAGGGTTGGTGCAATAGCACTGTGGGTAGAACGTTTGCCTTGCACTTGGCCACCCTGGGTTTGATTCCCAGCATCCCATATGGTCCCCCAAGCACCACCAGGAGTAATTCCTGAGTGTAGAGCCAGGGGTAACCCTTGAGCATCGCTGGGTGTGACCGAAAAATCAAAAAACAAAAGAAAAAGAAAAAAATCAGTACTAAACTATAACTATATATAACTATATCAGGATGGTAAGCTTCCCTTCACCTCTATTACCCACAAGATGGGAATCCTAGTGTTTGTGTCATCCAGTATTTCAATACTGTAGGAAACTGAATAAAACACTCACTTGTATCACTTGTCATCCAATTGCTCATCAATTTTCTCGAGAGGTCACCAGTAACATCTTCATTCATCCCTATCACATGCTATTGTAGCCCAATGGCATTTACTCATTCCAGGAACACGAAGAGCAGACCTTTCATTCAGGGTCTTGACGAATAAGTCTAACCATCTCATAGGTGGGCCGCCAGGCATTCTTTTGATGTCCCGTGAAATCCAGTCGGTAACAGCTCTAATCCAGTGGTTGTCTCCAAATCACATTATGTGTCTGGCCCATCTGATTTTCGACGCATTGCAAACAAGGCAGCGTCCCTAATCTTCGATCATCAATGGAGGTCAGAACTCTGGATTCCTTTTCTCATTTGAGTGAAGCGTGATACTCCAAGCATAGCTCTTTCGATTCTTCTTTGGGAGACCCAAATAGCGTTCTTATCCTGTATTTGTAGGGTCCAGGTCTCTGAGGCATATGCTAGTGCATGAAGAATGGCAAAGTTGAAAAGATGTGCCTGGAGCCAGAGTTTCTTCGTCTTCTTAACAACTTCTTCAACGCTGCTCTTGAAGACGTTCAACAGTGCTCTCTTCCTCCTGTGCACTTCTGGTGCCAAGTCATTCATCATGTTGAGTGTTTGACCCAGGTACACATAACTGCTGCATTCAGAGATGTTCATTTCATTGAGAGCAAATGGAACTTCAAGAAGTAGTTCATTTCAATTTCGTTGGTAAAGCAGAATATAGCATCTGGTCCAAACAAGGTCAGACCCAAATACCTGAAGAATCTGCCGCCTGTACTTGTCAATACATTGGCTCAGCTCTTCACACGCTACCTGTCTGAATGCAAGGTTCAGTACCAATGGAGAACCAGCAGGACTGTTCTTTTATATAAGAAGGGAGACATTCATGACATCGGCAACTATCACCTGATCTGCCTGTTGTCCATCGTCTAGAAGGTGTTCACTCGAATCATCCTGAATAGAATTGGCAGAACACTAGACAAAGGACAACCATGCAGGCAAATTGGGTTCTGAAAGTGATTCATTAAAATTGACCATATCCACATGGAGATCAAGCTCATTGAGATCTCTCAAGAATTCAAGATGCAGCTCAGTCTAACGTTCATTGATTTAAAGAAGGCCTTCGATTCTGTTGAGACTGAAGCAGTCATTGAAGCCCTAGCCAAGCAAGGCATTCAAGTTTAGTACATCAGGATCCTCTGTGAGCTGTATTATGGATTCACCACCAGGATCTAACCATTCTACAAGGAAATGATCATCAACGTAAAGAGAGGGAAATACCATTTCACCAAAACTTTTCATTGCCACCCTTGAGAACATCATGTGATGACTGGATTGGAAAGGAATGGGAGTGAAGATAGATGGTTAACAACTATAACACCTCTGCTTTGCTGATGACATTGTTCTAATAACACCAAACATTAGCCAAGCAGCACAAATGCTGGCCGACTTCGACCGTGAGTGCAGAAAGGTCAGATTGAGCTGAATCTCATGAAAACAATGTTCATGAGAAATGAAGTAAGCAATAAAATAATTAATACATATGCTTTATATTAGGGCTGGAGAGATAGCACAGCGGGTAGGGCGTTTGCCTTGCATGCAGTCAACATGGCCGACCCGAGTTCAATTCCTCTGCCCCGTTAGGAGAGTCCGGCAAGCTACCGAAAGTATTTCGCCCGCATGGCAGAGCCTGGCAAGCTACCCGTGACGTGTTCAATATGCCAAACACAGTAACAACAAGTCTCACGATGGAGACGTTACTGGGCCCGCTCAAGCAAATCAATGAACAATGGGAGGACCGTGATGCTTTATATTATAAACATGATGTATCAATACAGAAAATAATTATAATCTTGATCTCTTGTCAGAATTTTCTCCATCAAACACATCTATCAGTGTATAAATTATGAATGAGTAAAACAAAATTTCCCTTTAAGACAGAGACCACAGGGCTGGAGAGATAGCACAGCGGGTTGGACTTTTTCCTTGCACACGGCCAACCTGGGTTTGATTCCCAGGATCCCATATGGTCCCCTGAGCACCGAAAGGAGTAACTCCTGAGTACAGAGTCAGGAGTAACCCCTGTGCATCGCTGAGTGTGACCCAAAAAAGCAAAAAAAAGAAAAAGACAGAGACAGAGACCACATTTAAAATTTTTCTAGCCAAGGTTTTTTCATATGGTTTATATCTTCATTAAACTTTTTATTTTCATTTGACTGGAGATACAGCTCAGGGATTAAAGCACTTGCTGTGTACACAGCTGGTCCTTTTTGATCCACAGTTTTGACAGGAGTGATCCCTGAGCACAGAACCAGGAGGAAGCGCTGACTATCACCAGGGGAGTGCACCCTCATGAAATACTAAAGTTTTAAAACTTTAATAAAACATTGTTTTCTCTTTTAGCTTTGTAATGCTTTCCCTGTTCTCATTGTTCTCCCTGGAAGTCATAACAAAGTATTCAAAAATATTGATTTCTTTAAAAGTTATGTTTTTGAGAAAACAAAAGAACATCAAGAATCTCTGAACATTAGTAATCCTCGAGACTTTATTGACTGTTACCTCATCAAAATGGAAAAGGTAAAATGTCACTAGCAGTTTAGTTATTTTGTTTATTAAGAGTGTTATATTTTTTTTTAAAAAGAGTGCTATATTTACCAGGGAGGATTTTGTGGTAAGGCAAATAATGTTGACAAGGTATTTTGTTACTTATTGCTTAAGTTAATATAAACTAAATATTATGGAAGGAGTAAAATTGAATTGTTAAGATATGTGATGATTTTTAAGATAAGTGGCTGGAGTGATAGCACAGCGGGTAGGGTGTTTATCTTGCAAGCAGCTGACCCGGGTTTGATTCTCAGCATCCCACATGGTCTCCGAGCACTGCCAGGAGTAATTTCTGAGTGAATGAGCCAGGGGTAACCCCTGTGCATTGCCAGGTGTTACCCCTCCCCCCCAAAAAAGATAAGTGAAATACATAAGTTCTTTAGGTACTTATAGTGGGGGAGGTGTTGGTAGAGAGAATTACACTTTAGCTAAACTAGAATCAACTATTTACAAATAAGTTTAGCATTGTCCTCCTGTTGTTCATCGATTTGCTCAAGCGGGCCCAGTAATGTCTCCATTGTGAGACTTGTTACTGTGTTTGGCATACCGAATACGTCACAGGTAGCTTGCCAGGCTTTGCCGACAAATAAGTTACAAAGTGCAAAATATCATTCCATAATTGAAGGTGGATTCTGATCATGGCACACTTTATCTTAAAAACTAAAATAAAAATTCAATTTTTCTGAGTTTTCTATATGTCTGGAATTTGGAGAGAGTAGCACTGTAGCACTGTCTTCCCGTTGTTCATTGATTTGCTCGAGCGGGTCCAGTAACGTCTCCATTGTGAGACTTGTTGTTACTGTGTTCGGCATATTGAATACATCATGGGTAGCTTACCAGGCTTTGCCGTGCAGGCGAGATACTCTCGGTAGTTTGCTGGGCTCTCCAAGAGGGGTGGAGGAATAGAACTCAGCTCGGCCAGGCTGGTCGCTTGCAAGGCAAACGCCTTACCGCTGTGCTATCGCTCCAGACCTGGAATTTGGAAATAAAATTTAACATGTTGTTAGTAAAAGCAGTTGAGGGAGTTTCAAATAACCAAATTTTATGGATGGAGAAATAGAAATGAATATTGGCAGTGAATTGGTGGATGGAAGAGAGAAACCTCTACTGATATAAAATGGTATGAAATGGTATAAATAAAAAATTGGAGATTGATATCTGGAGCGATAGCAGAGTGGTAGGGCATTTGCCTTGAACTCAGCCAGCCCTGTCGAGCCGGGTTCTATTCCTCTGCCCCTCTTGAAGAGCCTGGCAAGCTACCGAGAGTATCTCACTGGCCCGGCAAAGCCTGGCAAGCTACCCGCGACGTATTTAATATGCCAAACACAGTAACAACAAGTCTCACGATGAAGATGTTACTGGGCTCGCTCGAGCAAATCAATGAACAATGGGAGGAAAGTGCTACAGATATCTAGAAGTATGAGCTTTGTATCTTCAACTGAAAAATACGATTCTTCCAGCATGAACTTTCATTCATCTGGCTAAAACTCAGTTGACTGAAAATATAGTCATAGTTGCCTGCTTGTAAGAATTTTTTAAATTGAGAAGCATGAGTATTCCAACTTTATCTCTTTTTTTTTTTTGGACCAGGGTAACAGCATAGGCTTGACTGTACCAGGCTGTGCTCACGGTTTACTCCTGGCTCTGCACTCAGGGATCACTCCTGGCGGGACTCGGGGAACCATATGTGGTGTTTGGGATAGAACCTGGGAGAGTCTCATGCAAGGAAAATGACCTACCTATTGTACTATCACTTTGGCCCAGCTTTGTCCAAAAAAAAAAAATAGAATTTGTTATGACTTTTCTGGGTCCCTTAACTTTCTATGTAATTTTAGGATAACTTTTTCAATTTATGAAGAGAAGACTTAAAACTTTTGATATGTTGACTCAACTTTATAACTGTAGCACAGTAGCACTGTAGCACTGTTCTCCCATGGTTGTTCATCGATTTCCTCGAGCAGGCCCAGTAACGTCTCCATTTTGAGACTTCTTGTTACTGTATTTGGCATATAGAATATGTCACGGGTAGCTTGTCAGGCTTTGCCATGTGGGCGAAACACTCTCGGTGGCTTGCCGGACTCTCCGAGAGGGACAGTGGAACCGAATCCGGCTTGGCTGACCTGGCTGTGCACAAGGCAAACACCCTACCTCTGTGCTATCGCTCTGGTAGTGGGTTATCAGAACTTATTAACTTTATAACAAAATGAGTTATTTTGGATTTACTAGTTCTGGAAAAATTATAAATCAAATAATCATATCAAATTATTCCTAGGAAAAGCACGATAAAAACGTGGAGTTTACTTTAGAAAATCTGACTGTCACAGCTACTGATCTGTTTGCAGCTGGGACAGAGACAAAAAGCACTACGCTGATGTATGCTCTTCTTCTCCTGCTGAAGTACCCTGAGGTCATGGGTATGAGCTATATAATAGATACGTGGATTGCAGAAATATCTTGCAAGATTTAGATGTGCTTTCTATCTTTCTTCTTAGAAAGCATCAGTAAATAAATATCTGTATAATCAAATTAATGAAAGTATCATGATGGGGTTGGGTGTTTTCTTCTTGTGGAGTTCAACCAGTAACTTGTATATCCTTGAGTTCAACCCCTTGTAGGATGTGTATTTGGCAAATATCCTTTCCCATTCTGTAGACTGTCTTTGTATTTTGGTCACTGTTTCTTTTGAGGTGCAGAAGCTTCTTAGTTTAAGATAGTCCCATCTGTCTATCTCTGTTTTCACTTGCTTGGCCAGTGGCATAACATCTTTGAAGATACCATTAGCTTCAATATCATGGAGGGTTTTGCCAACTTTGTCTTCAATGAACTTTGAATTCTGGTCTGATGTTGAGGTCATTAATCCATTTTGATCTTACTTTTGTACATGTCATTAGGCAGAGATCTGAGCCAACTGTTTTTTGCATTTAGACGTCCAGTTTTGCCACCACTGTTTGTTAAAGAGGCTTTCCCTGCTCCACTTCACTTTTCTTGGCCCATTATCGAAGATTAGATGATCATATACTTGGGGGGAGATGTCAGTATATTCAACTCTGTTCCATTGGCTTACAGCTCTGCTTTTGTTCCAGTACCATGCTGTTTTAATTATTACTGCTTTGTAGTAGAGCTTGAAGTTAGGGAGGTTGATTCCTAGCATTTTCTTTTTTCCCAAGAATTGCTTTAGCTATTCGTGGGGGCTTATTGTTCCATACAAATTTCAGGAGTGTTTGCTCCATTTCTTTGAAGAATGTCATGGGTATCCTTATAGGGATCGAATCAAATTTGTACAGTGCTTTGGGAAGTATAGCCATTTTGACGATGTTAATTCTCCCCATCCATGAGCAGGGGATATTTTTCCATTTCCTCGTGTCCTCTTTTATTTCCTGAAGTAGCGTTTTGTACAGTTTTCTTTGTACAGGTCCTTTACTTCCTTAGTTAAGCTGATTCCTAGGTACTTGATTTTCTGGGGCACAATTGTGAATGGGATTGTTTTCTTCGTGTTACTTTCTTCTCTTTCACTATTTGCGTATAGGAAAGCCATGGATTTTTGGGTATTGATTTTATAGCCTGCCACTTTACTATACAAGTCTATTGTTTCTAGAAGTTTCTTGGTAGAGGTCTTAGGGTTCTTTAAGTATAGCATCATATCATCTGCGAATAGTGAGAGCTTGATTTCTTCCTTTCCTACCTGGATGCCCTTAATATCTTTTTCTTGCCTAATCGCAATTGCCCCAAGTACTTCCAGTATTATATTGAACAGTAGTAAAGAGAGTGGGCATCCTTGTCCCGTTCCTGATCTTAGGGGGAAGGCTCTCAGTTTTCCCCCATTGAGGATGATGTTTGCTGTAGGTTTGTGTTAGATGGTTTTAACTATATTGAGGAAAGTCCCCTCTATCCTCATTTTTGCGAGGGTTTTCATCATAAACGGGTGCTGGATCTAGTCAAGTGCTTTCTCTGCATCTATTGATATCATCGTATATTTTATCTTTCCTTTTCTTGATATGATGAATTATGTTGATTGATTTCCGAATGTTGAACCAACCTTGCATCCCCAGGATGAATCCCACTTGGTCATGGTATCGAATGCACCACAGGTAGCTTGTCAGGCTCTGCCTGTGCAGGCGAGATACTCTCGGTAGCTTGCTGGGCTCTCTGAAATATATATATATGTACATATATACAATAATATATAAAATTCATCTTATATATGTATATGCAATACATATATAAAAGTTTTATATACAATACCATAATTTATTTTAATTTTTATTTATGGTGCTAGGCAGTGACTACTTTAATTTTTTTTATCTTAGTATCCAATTTTCTTAACACTTATTGAAGAGAACTCCCTCGCTGTTTAATATTATCTCGCACATTTCTTCCAGCTCCACAAATGCTTTATGACTCAGATTAGATGTGTTCTATTCCAGGGCACAAATATAATTATATCACTGGCTTCTGTGCTGCATGATGAAAGAGAATTCCCTAATGCAAAAGTGTTTGATCCAGGCCACTTTCTGGATGAGAGTGGAAAATTTAAGAAAAGTGACTACTTCTTGACTTTTTCAGCAGGTATTAAAATTTATTTCCTTGGTACATCAGCAATAAATTTACAATGGATTTGCTGATAATAAGCAGTGCTCACATTAGAGCTAGTAGAATAGTTCTTTGCTCATGATCAAGAACACCATGTTAGAGCCCAAACACTTTTCCGTCTCTCTGATGCACTTTCATTATTTGCCAGATCACTGATATTTTGGAGAATTCATTCATTTCTTCCAAATTAAGGAAGAATTTTTTAAATAAAGAAAAAATATAAGAAAATGGCAGTTTATAAAATGGAACAGTGTGAGATAAAACTTGAAATTTTATGATATATTAAAGATTATTTAGCATGAATATAGTTAAAGCAGGAAAAAGAGTCAGAGGAAATGGACAGATTATTTTATATCAAATTAGAAACAGAAAGCACAGCTAATGTATTTGTTTCAAGAAAAATATTAATGGAATCAGGAATTATAATAAAAACTACTTATTAAAGTTCTTTCCTTGTATTCATCTCAATAACAGTTGAAAGGACACCTTTAAAATAAGATATTAGGCAATGTATAGGTGTGTGTGTGTGTGTGTGTGCACTTTTCATCCATCTGTCAAACCATCATGTGTTTTTATTCACCCATTTGACCATTCTTTAAATAGTTATTGCATATTCTCCTTCTGACAGCCAGAAACAGAGTTCAAGGACTAGCTTTTCTTTGTGCTCGCTTTTTTTCCAGGAAAACGCTCATGTGCAGGAGAAAGCCTGACCCAAATGGAACTGTTCTTGTTCCTGACTACCATTTTACAAAAATTTAACTTGAAATCTGTGGTTGATCTCAAGGACCTTGATACTACTCCTGTTGCAAAAGTATTGACTTCTGTACCTCCTTCTTACAAGCTCTGCTTTGTTCCTGTGTGAGAAGAATTGATCACCTATTTCTGCTATGATTTTGTCTGAAAATATCTCCATATGAGTTTTTGTTTACTTCCTTCCTTCTTTATCCATTTCCTGAGATGCTATTTCTGATCTCTCCTTCCTTCATCTCCCCATTGTCTCCAGATTCAAAACCGCTCAGTGTTCATTAAAGATGGATTTTCAGAGTTTCACTTCAAAACCATGTTATTTCTTCATAATCTGTAACATTTGTGTGCTTATACTTTCTAAAATTGAATCATTAACATCAATATGCTCATATTTTCTAAAAGTGAAATTAGGCACTATAAAATTGAGCAAGGAATTAGTGTATGCCTATACACAGCCATTTTTTCTCATCATGTTCTAAATGTTAAAAATAAAATTTTTGAGCCCATTTTCAAACTTCCTTTTCTCTCTTCACAATGCAGGCAAGAAACATAGGAACTAATCCAAAGGGTTTGGGATTATAGTGATAGTCACAGAGAAGCACAAAGAGGATTAGTGTAGATAAGCTCTTTTGACTACATGTCTCCTGGAATTTCTTCAAAAAATGAAAGAAATTGTGCACTGGAGAATTTTCATCCTGTTGGAAAAATATTGACAACAGTGTTCTAAAAGTGTCTGTTCCTTTCAAGTTCTAGAAAGACAAAATTAATCTATTATTAGAATCCAGAGTACTGGTTGCTTCTGAGGATTGTTAGAAAGAGGAGTGAATGTACTTTTTAACAGAATGGGACTGTTGTATACTGTCACTGTCACTGTCCTGTCACTGTCCTCCCATTGTTTATCGATTTGTTCAAGTGGACCCAGTAACGTCTCCATTGTGACACTTGTTACTGTGCTTGGCATATCAAATACATCATGGGTAGCTTGCCAGGCTTTGCCATGCAGGTGAGATACTCTTGGTAGCTTGCCAGGCTCTCCGAGAGGGGCGGAGGAACTGAACTTGGGTCGGCCAGGTCAACCTCATGAAAGGCAAATGCCCTACACAATGTGCTATAGCTCCAACCTGTTGTATACTAGGGAAATGAAACATATTAAACCTGACTGAAGTGTATATTAAGCTTTTATCAGAAGATCTGGGGAACACCCAGATAAGAGTAACATTTGGGGATAATTCTAAACAAAAGAATTTCAAGTTCTTGAAAATAAGTCTTTTCTAGTAGCCATTCTGATGCAAGTTGTTCTAGGCTTTATCTACACTTGTGTTTTCAAAGTATAGTTGAACTTTGTACTTTATAATTAAATTGCAATTATTATTATTATTATTATCATTATTTGCTTTTTGGGTAACAGCTGGTGTTGCACAAGGGTTACTCCTTGCTCATGCACTCAGGAATTACTCCTGGCGGTGCTCGGGGGACCATATGGGATGCTGGGGATCGAACCTGGGTCAGCTGTGTGTGAGGCAAATGCGATACAAGCTGTGCTATTGCTCCAGCATTAATTTTAGTTAAAATTGCAAATTAAACTTGATAAAAATATTTATAGGCTCTGGGGAGATAGGACCATGTTCATAATGTTTAAGGCTGTGAGTCTGATACCTACTACATGTCTCCTGGGTAGCATTCTAGCCTTGATGGCCCTCAAACACTGTTGGGTGTGATCCTGGTGGCTTCTGAGCACTGCTGGGGGCCCCTGGTGGTCCTAAGTTCCCCTGGGCCCAAGAACTGCAGTGAACTGTCACACCTGTAATACCTGTAGGCATCACTAGGAGTGGTCCATATAAAATTTACTTCTGCTAAAAAAAGATATCAAACTCGGGTCGGTCATGTTGGCTGCATGCAAGGCAAATGCCCTACCTGCTGTGCTATCGGCGGGTAGAGGAATTATAAACTATTGATATGTGCATATGCAGAAATTCTCTGGTAAAAAACAGTCAAAAAATTCTTTTAGAATATCTCTTGTATTTTTTCTTTCCTTTTTTTCCCTGTCTTTTTGTTTTCTTGTTTATTGGACCACACCTGGCAGCGTTCAAGGCTTACTACTGACTCTGTGCTCAGGGATCATTCCTGGCAGATTCAGGGGTCTATATGATGTACCAGGGATTGAACCCGGGTCAGCTGCATACAAGGCAACTTCCCCACCTTCTGTACTATTGATCCAGTCAGTGGACTGAATTTCTTCAACTAACCCCTGTCATACATTTTTGTTAGTTTGGGGACTTATGCCCGGGAGTATCAGGTATTTTTTCTGACTCTATTCTTAGGGATCACTCCTGACAAGATTTGGGAGGCCATATCCAGTCTGCAAAGCAAGCATCTTAGCTCCTGCACTATCAGTATGCTCCTAAATTTTCTCTGTCTTATGATGCTTTGACATTTTTGGAATCTTTGAGAAAAACTTCTACTCAAGTATGAGTTCTATGATTTCAAGATCACGAATTTTCAGTTATATGTTATACACATACCCACTACCAAGTATTAATGAGCCTCCACTATAGACCACTGGATCTTGTCTATCCTTTGCCACCATCCCAAACCCTTCTGATCACTCTACTTCTGTTGTCAGAATCCAGAGACTTGTATTCTTCTTTTGCAGTGTATATTTTCCATGTGAATGAAATTATCCAAAATTGACTCTTCCCTTATTTCACTTAAATTGTTGGTCAACAATTTAGTTTCAGTCATATTGTTGAATAAAGAACAATTTTATCTTTTTTATGGTGGTGCAGTATTGCATTAAGTGTATTTACTACAACCTACTATGAAGAATCTCAATGAGTATTAAGGTTGATTTAATATTTTTGGCTATTAGAAATGTTACTGTAAACGCAGTAGTGTAAATTCTAATTTTTGTTTTATTTTTGTTGTGGAAATTCCCAACACAAACCAGAAAAAAAATAAGCAGCAAGCTTTGAGTAGTGGGAGAGCACTATTTATTTCCCTGGTAGGGCCCAGTTGAGCTTGTCATCCAAAGACTGGGTCCTCAACAAGGTAAGAGCTCAGTTTTATAGAGTATCTGGTAGGCTGTCTCAACAAAATCAAAGACCTTTAAATTGATGAACGTTAGACAGAGTGGCATATTGAACTCTTGTGATTCTGTTGATTCTGTTGAGACTGAAGTGGTCATCGAAGCCCTAGCCAAACAGGGCATTCAAATTCAGTACATCAGGATTCTCTCTGAGCTGTGTAAAGGATTCACCACCAGGATCTCACCTTTCTACAAGGAAGTGATCATCGACGTAAAGAGAGAGTATCGACAGGATTATACCATTTCACAGAAACTCTTCAGTGCCACCCTCGAAAACATCATGTGACGACTGGAATGGGAAGGAATAGGAGTGAAGATAAACGGTGGGCAACTACACCACCTCTGCTTTCCTGATGACATCATTCTAATAACACCAAACATTAGCGAAGCGACACAAATGCTGGCCCATTTCAACCGTGAGTGTGGAAAGGTCGGACTGCAGCTGAATCTCCTGAAGACAATGATTATGAGAAACAAACTAGTTCCTGACATCCATTTGCTCTCAATGGAACAAACATCTTCGAACGCAGCAGTTATGTGTACCTGGGTCAAGAACTCAACATGACAAATGACTTGGCCCCAGAACTGTGCAGGAGGAAGAGTGGCATGGAACACCTTCAAGAGCATCGAAGAAGTTGTTAAGAGGATGAAGAAACTCTGGCTCCAGACACATCTTTTTGATTCCACCATTCTTCTGCACTAACATATGCCTCAGAGACCTAGGCCCTGCTAAAACAGGATGAGAACGCTATTTGGGTCTCCCAAAGAGGAATTGAAAGAGCTATGCTTGGAGTATCACACTTCACTCAAGTGAGAGAATGAATCCAGAGTTCTGACCTCGGTCAACGATCAAGGATCAGGGCCACTGCCTCGTTTGTCAAGGTGTCAAAAATCAGATGGACTGGACACGTAATGCGATTTGGAGACAATCTCTGGACTAGAGCCATCCAGCGACTGGATTCCATGAAATGTCAAAAGAACTACTGGCTACCCACATACGAGATGGTTGGACTTCTTCATCAAGACCCTGAAGGAGCGGTTTGATGCTTTCCGTGTTCCTGGAGTGAGCAGATGCCATTGAGCTACACTAGCACGCAACAGGGACAAATGGAAATGTTACTGGCACCCACTTGAGCAAATCATTGAGCAATGGGATGACAAGTGATACAAATGACTGTTTAATTCAGTTCCCTACCATATTGAAATACTGGATGATACAAATACTAGAATTTGTAATAGAGGTGAAGGGAGGCTGAGCATCCTGATATTTGTTTCTGTTGGGAAAATCATAAACCCAATTACTTTATCACTTGAAAATGCCTCGAAGGCATCAGAGTGATACTACAGCAGGTAGGGCCTTTGACTTACACATGACTGACCCAGATTCTATCCCTGGCATCCCACATGATCCAACAAGCACCACCAGGAGTAATTTCTGAGCACAAAGCCAGGAGTAACCTCTGAGATTCGCTGGGTGTGCCCCAAAAAGCAAATAAATAAATAAATAAATTCTTCGATCATTAGAATATAAAAAAAATCAAAGAGAGGGCCAGAGAAATAGTACAGCACATAGGGCATTTGCCTTGCACGTGGTCAACCTGGGCTTGATCTCCATCCCAAATGGCCCCCAGAGCACTGCCAGAAGTGATTTCTGAGTACAGAGTCAGAGTAACCCCTAAACATCACTGGATGCGACCCAAAAGCAAAGAAAGAAAGAATAGAAAGAAAGGAAGGAAGGAAGGAAGGAAGGAAGGAAGAAAGAAAGAAGCATCAAAGACTTTTACTTTAGACAGTGTTTTTTTTGACATCATGTATCTTGATTATCTCTATGCTTCTTTGCTTGCTTATCTCCACTCTAGAGAGAAGCCTATGTTCTCTATTGAACATGTACTACTCCTTCTCTCTCTCTCCCTTCACATATTTCTGAATAAGTTTCAATAAAAACCACCTTGCCTCACACACACACACACACACACACACACACACACACAAAACCCCCACAAACATAGAGAATTTTCTTTTTTCACATG